TGGATATTTTAATTTTTACAAATGATTTTCATCAGTATTTGTTAATATTTATTTCAAAATGTGCTGACTTTTAAAAGTCTATAGAAATAACGTATATCAATCTGATTTTTTTAATATTTTTTTTTTTAAAGTAAAATTTTATCTTAATATATTATTCATTTACTGGGAGTTTTCGAAGATGCAAGATGGATGAAAACAAATATGAATACAATAAAAAACATGCCGTACAATACAACTGATTGTAATGAGATTGACTAAAGTATTTGAAAAATTGTTGACATCTTATGATAGTATGTAATATTTTTGTAGGGGAGTGATATGAATCTAGGTAACTTACTCTACATGTAGAAAAATCCAGTCCTATAGGACTGGCAGTGTAAAGTCCTATAGGAATTGTATAGTCCTATAAGACTTATGATCTCACACACCAGTCCTATAGGACTGGCAGTGTAAAGTCCTATAGGAATTGTATAGTCCTATAGGACTTATGATCTCACACGCCTGTCCTATAGGACTGGCAGTGTAAAGTCCTATAGGAATTGTATAGTCCTATAGGACTTATGATCTCACACAGCAGTCCTATAGGACTGGCAGTGTAAAGTCCTATATGACTTGTTATTCCTATATACATGTCCTATAGGATTTCATGAAAAGTCCTATGAGATTTTAAAAATCCTATAGGAAACTTTTGTAAGGGCTATAAAAAATCTTTAAAATGTCTATAGAAATGCTATAAAGAAAATCTATACAAATTCTACAGAATAGTCAAGTCTATTCAGATTCTATACGATTTCTACAGAAGTCTATACAAGTCTATCAAAGTTTTATAGAATTTTTTCGTAAGGGAAATTTAAAAAACAATTGTCAAGTGTGTCAGAAAAATTGTCATGGATATTTGAAAATTGTGAACAGCATGACAATTACAATTTGACCAATCATAAACCAATTCTAAAAAATGCACATGGTAAACACATGTTACAAGCCAAACACCAGATTACTGCAGTTGATGGTTCTGAGGAGCAATTCATTCAATTTCCCCATAATTTAATATGAGATGAAATATCACATGGTGTCATAAAGTGTGGTGGCTAAGTTTATATCGCAAAACTAGGCGTTGGGGTGTTCTTTTCGTCACATAAAACGAACTGACTAATCATGCGGAATTGTTATTGAAACGGACATCGATTGCGTTGTGTTTTCTTGAGTTGAACAGACGTGAGGTATAATTCAAACTGGTTTATTTGTACTCAACATGAACATCCATACGTTGTACAGCAAATACTTCTTGGTATAAAATATAGATCGCTAAATAATAGCTCCATGAGGAGTTGACATCGTAGAGAGCATAGAAAGGAGGGTGTGCATAACGAGCATCAAGTTGCGAAGCTACCATAGAAGGAATTACAGCGACGGCCTGAATCGGACTTCTCACGACAGCGCTTTGCCTGGTTAATGTAATTGTCAACGTTAGAGCGGCATTTGTCTCGGTGACAGCTAATCGGAGAAGTGCCAAACACGTGTTTGTACTCTAGAATATATCATGTCAAAACGTTCCGAAAATAAAACAACGCTAATGATTGGCGCATACAAACGAAACATAGCGCTGTCATTCCATATTAGAGTGACACGCGACTAACACGAGCAGAACTTTGGTTGGAATTTTGGGC